AAAAAATTAGCACCATTGAGTGATATGACGTAGTTATACTTCTATATAAAGTTGAGATGAAGGTTTTGCAAAGATTGTTATCATAAGTAAGGGAAAACAATATGTGGTAAAGTTTATTTACACTTGTTTTGTTTACCTTAAAATTGTTGTGAAGACTTTGAAATTATCTTCAAATGAATTTGTTTAATAGTATAGTAACAGAAAAAAAGGGTGAGTTGAAATAATGTCTGCAAACTATTGTTGCCAGTTCATGAAAATTTGATAAAAGAAAAAAAAAAAAAAGAAAAATAGCAAGTTTTTAATTTATCTGTGTAAAAAAACTTGAAATTTTTTTTCTCATTTTCTCGTTGGTAATTGGTAGAATAGCTTTGTTTCTTTACATGCAGTAGAATTATGAGTTTATTGTATTTTTGATAAAGTTTGATTTCAGATTTAACAATTAACTTTGATATACTTTATGTAACAATATAACACTTGAAATTTTCCCAGAATTAAATTCAAAAGAACAATGTTTCCTTTACATTTCCCTGAATCTATGTTTATCAAAACCTTTCTGTTGATGAGGTTTGATGAGGTGTTCATCAGTTCAATTTATATTCTTTTCTTATTTTTCTTTGTGTGTCCATTATTTGTATTTGTTTGTTTGTGCAAGGTGACTTTGAGGTCACAATAGAGATTTTCCCGGTATTAATAGAAATAAAATATGAGTATTTTAGCTGAATCAAAACATAGTAGAAACTTTTCTAAAAAAAAAATGCCTTAACAAGCAAGTAGATGATATCTTTTTGGGTTATAATGTATGTGTTTTGTATAATTTCAACATTTTGCTGTATCTACTATTAAGGCATATTATACAAACCTCTACTTCATTTACATCCGACCCGAGTGGCCAATGCTTTGGTTTTAGACATAATTTAAATTATTTTTTTTATCTGTTAATTTTTTATTCATAAAATTATGTTCTAATGCTGAGGTTGCAACTCTCTAAAGTAAAGTTACTATTTATGTTATTTTGTTTTTTATATATCCCAAAAAAATTTAATTTGGCTTTCCTTTATATTAAATATTTTTGGAAAAAATGTCTTTTGTTTATAGAATATATTGCCAAAATATGAAAATTAAGTCTTAAAAGGAGATGGGTTGAGATAACAAAAAACTAGTTCAACCTTGCCCGATACCCGTGTGTCTGTCAGGAGCATATTGTCAGTTGTCTTCTAATGACATATCATAATGTGTTTTGTAATTTGGAGAATTTGGTTAAACAATCACAGAATCCTCCTAAACATGAATGAAATATTTGCCACTGGACGTTATGTAAGCAACAATCAATCAACCATCACAGGAACATATCTAGGAAGTATGGTATCAATTGGTTCAGTAGTTCTTGAGAAGAAAATCTTTTAATATCTAACCAATTGGACCCTTTTTTGACCCCCTGAAGCTATATTGGACTCACATCATGACCAAAATAGTAGCACTTGGTAATTACATAAGTACCTTCCTAGGAACATGTCTGCATGGTTTGTTTTCTGTTCACTTCATCTATTTTTTTTTACGTCTTTATTGGTTCTGTCATTCTTGAGAAATTTTCTGATATTGAGACAAGCAGGAATGAGAAAAGGCCATGGTGGGCACATATGTTGCCAGACAAGCAGAAATGAGAAAAGGCCATGGTGGGCACATATGTTGCCAGACAAGCAGAAATGAGAAAAGGCCATGGTGGGCACATATGTTGCCATACAAGCAGAAATGAGAAAATGCCATGGTGGGCACATATGTTGCCAAACAAGCAGAAATGAGAAAAGGCCATGGTTGGCACATATGTTGCCATACAAGCAGAAATGAGAAAATGCCATGGTTGGCACATATGTTGCCATACAAGCAGAAATGAGAAAATGCCATGGTTGGCACATATGTTGCCATACAAGCAGAAATGAGAAAATGCCATGGTTGGCACATATGTTGCCATACAAGCAGAAATGAGAAAATGCCATGGTTGGCACATATGTTGCTATTCAAGAGTAATTTGGGGACATAGTTAATATCCTTTTCTATTTCAGATTTTAACATTTTCACTAGTTGAACACAGAAAATGAAAATTTCTATATTAAAAATTAATTTGATTGAAATTACTTAACAAAATGCTCTTAGAAATTTTAAAATAAATATATAACCTTAAATGCCTTTATGGGAGAGAATGACTTTCATCATTTTAACAGCATCAAAGTCTTATATATAGTAAGATTGATTTTTAATTTTTTTTTTTAACCTTTTCTTTGCGAAGTGCTCTTATAAATTAATTAATTATAAATATTGCTGAAAGACTATTGCATATGACGTCATGCCCTTATGAGACAGGAAGACCTTTATCATTTTAACACCAGCAGAGTCTTAGTATATATGAAAAGATTGATATTTATTTTTTTAATTTCAATTTTTTCTTGACAATGACTGCTTTACATAGTGCTGTTATAAATTAAATAATTATACACATGCTGAGAGACCTTTGCATTTGATGTCATACCCTTATGAGAGAGGAAGACCTTTATCATTTTAACAGCATCAAATCTTAGTTAATATGAAAAGATGTTTTTTATTTATTTTATTTCAACCTTTTCTTGATATTAGGACTGCTTTACAAAGTACTGTTATAAATTGAATATTTATAATTATTATATACGGGTACTTAGAAGTAAATAAAGGTAAATTGTATGTGTAATACAATTGATGACAATCATGCTGTATCAACCATTGGTGATGATATTGATATCAGTCACGGTTACAAAGGCTTTATCATACCCCTAATCTGTATGACGTCACATAATCAATATCAGGCATGGTTACAAAAGCTTTATCAACCAAATATGTTTTACGTCACGTCTCATGAAAAATATTTTCGGAGAGATTAGTTGTACTTGAGGTACATGTATATAATAAAGTGTATATGATATGGCTTTTTCAATATCACACACCGTATCAACCCTCAACCAATATAATCCCTCGAGCAGAGCTCTTGGGATTATATTGGTGTCTCTGGTTGATACAGGTGTGATATTGAAAAAGCCATATGATATTCTCTATTTATCTGAGAGACCTTTGCATATGACATGATGCCCGTATGGGAGAGGAAGGCCTTTATCATTTTAACATTATAGGAACTAAGATTGAGGATATAGAATATATAATAATCAGATTGGCATATTTCAATAAAACCTACTCATATAATCTTTTAATGGTACATCTTTTCACCTACTTACTTTAAGCTCACCTGACCCGACTGGTATAACACTTATAGTCTGTCTTCCATGGACTATAGACTACAATATAAGGCAGCAAGTACCAGCCAAATTTAAATACTCTAGCTGCAAATGAAATTTTTTTTATTAGAGCTGGCTCCATAGAATATGCAAACACTGTTCAGAAAAATTGAAATTAGTTTAAGTTAGGATATTGTCGTGAGAAACTTTTCAGACATAAATTTTATATCGATATATACATGCCAGTTTAACTGATTTTATAAAAGCTGTAACAGCAGAATAATTGATAGCACTGTCAATCCAAAAATGAAATGTATTATAGATTGTATCATTTATATGGCATGATTGCTTTTCCAGTGGGCAACTTTTGGTGATAGTTCAACTGAAAAAAAAAACATTTCAAATATGAGTTTCACATATTGGTTCTGAAGTGTTTCCCCAGAGTTCTAACATTTAACTGCTTGTTATGATCAGAAATTTATTTTTGTTAGTTTATGTACAAATAAGTGCATTTCTGACTTGATTGATGATTTGTACAAAAATTTGTTCTGAGATACTGGTAGAAAATGTGATTGTTGTTTCCATTGTTAGAAAAAGCATGGATTGTTCAATATTATTTTTCATCACATTTTTGTGGTTGATATTGTAGATTATTGAATATAGTATTACCAGTAATCATAATTTCATGCCATGAATACCAGTACATTTATTTTAGTGAGGAAAATCATATTTTTTGTATAAATAAAATGATATGTGGGTTTAAGTCAATGAGACAGCAACCAAATGACACAAAAGAACAAACACAACTGCCAGAGGTCATCAAATGGCCTTCAACTATGTCAAAATATGTAAAGCTAAAGTCTAAAATAATGTGAATAAATTCAACAGAGACTCTAAAAGATCTGCCATCAAAATTAAATTCCCAATGAGATAAAAAAAAAAAAAAGCAATCAAATTTAATTCAACAAAAATATGGTGTCTAATTTTGGTCAGACAGAAGAATAATTGGCAGGATAAACTAGTTTTTAACAAGCCTCCTGGTGTGGGATTTTCTCGCTGTGTTAAAAACCCATTAGGGGCCTTGGGCTGTTTTTTATTCTTTGGTCTGTTTATTGTCTCTTTGACTCATTCCCCATTTCCATTCTATATTCTATTTAAAGTCATCTGTCAACCTTCCTGCTTCTCATCTTGATCATTGGAATAAAGAAATGACAAGGAAAAATCATTCCAGAAAAAGAACTCAATTTGATAATACCTTGTACTTCTATAATAGACAACAAAATCATATCAAAAGAATGCTAGCAGTTACTAAATGCAAGCTCAATGTATATAACCTGTTAGTATAGAAAACGTGATGTTCTACACTCTAGTATCGGCTGCTGTACTTTGGAGGGAAAGAAATGTTTAATTTAATTACTACAAGTAATACTGAGGTCTGCTATATGTTGTATACAGAGTTTTCAGTTTTTAAAGAGAAAAAAAACTCATGGTAAGATCCTTATCAGGTTGCTTGTTCCTCTCTAAACATCAGTGTTTGTATAGATTATCCACCAAAAAAACTTACTTAAAGATTGCAGTAAAAAAAAATCCTTACATAAATATAAAAAAAAATACAATAAAAATTTACACTTAATTCAAAGCTTTCAGATCTTTAGAGATGGAAGTACAGGAGTGGCAGTGTTTTTCTGCTTGTAATATTTTTCTATTCTTTATTCTGTCAGTTTATAAAATATATATTTACAGGTGCTTTAGGTGATAAAGATGAAGAAAGTAAGGAAGATGGGGATGGTGGTGAAGATCCAGAGATTGAAGAAGCAAGGAGAGAAGCAGAGGAAAAAAGGAAAGAAAAACACAGAAAAATGGAAGAAGAACGAGAAACTATGAGACAGTCTATACGAGATAAGGTATTTATTGGTCGAAATTTTTATTTACCAGTCCTTTGTGTAAAGGTGCAATTTGGATAAATTTATAGTTATTTCTTAACTAAACAACCCATGAAAAGGAAATAATCTAACGAAAACTGCCATATTTAATTAAATAGAATAAATTCAACATTTAATTTTGGAAATTGGAGAAACTTTGAAGAAATTTTGATTTTAGAACAACTTGACATAAGGGATTCTAATCAGGACGCAAAAACATAAACTCTTAGTTTAAAGTTTTAAATTTCAGAAGGTAGATGACCTGGATACTTCACATCTCAAATACATATTCCTCTATGGTTGAGAGTTTCAGTCTGGCAATTGTCCATGTTCCTTGACAAAAATTTCATGGTTCAGTTACTGCTTACAAATCTATATAGTTTTTTGTCTCGCCTACCATGAAAATTGTGGAAGGCGAGACATAGGTATTGCTTTTCTGGCAAGGAAGATGTCGTCGTCATTGGTGTCACAATTGTTAACTTTTTTGCTTATGTTAGTTTGATAAGAACTACTTGTTATAGATCAGTGATACTTTGTATGAAGTTGCATTACTATCCGTACATATCAGTTTGATGATAATTTTTCTTCGTGCCCCTTGTAGGTCATGATGTAAAGTTTTCTGCTTAAGTTAGTTTGATAAGAACTACTTACAATAGACAACGATATTTTCTATAAAGTTACATTACTGTCTATACATCTCAGTTTTCTGACCATTTTGAGATCCTGTCCACTAGTTCATGGTCCAGCGACTTTGAATTAATTGGCAATGTTCCTGTCGATCAGATACTTTAAGCAATATGTCATTTTTATGTGGTGATAGTATGCAAAATAATTGTAAGGTGTACATGATTGTCTGGCAGGGATCATTTGACCTTGACCTCATTTTCACGGATCATTGATAAGTTAAATTTATGTGATACCTGTACTAAGATTGATTTTAAAAGATTTTGAACATAAAATTCAATCATAATATGTAAAGCAGATTAGATACTTTAGCCTGTGCATTTTGGTTTTTTCTAGTTCATAGTCTGTTGGAATAGAATGTTGATAAATGAATAATTAAAAGTGGTCATCTTTATGACAATCACTTACTTTAAAAATCAATGTAAAATTTTGTACATAAATTGAAAATAGAAACGGGGAATGCGTCAAAGAGACAACCACCCGACCAAAGAACAGAAAACAACCCAAGGCCACCAATGGGTCTTCAACACAGCAAGAAAATCCCACACATGGAGGCGGGCTTCAGCTTGCCCCTAAATTTTTTTTATGATTCAATGGGAATTTGATTCTTTTTTTTAACAAGTCAATTTGCTGTGACCTTGATATATTCAACCGTAATTTCTATACAACCACAATGTTAAGTAGATGCATGGGCTTGGGATAGTTGTGTGTATGTAAATAAAAGCCTGATAAAAAACTAGACACATTATTTAGAACTCATTTTATGTCCTCTGCATCATTGTCCGTGTTACACTTTGTTAATATGCAACTCCTTGGAAATGACGTGACAGTTTTCAACCAAATGGACATGAAGTTGTGATTTGAATTTTTGATTTTTAGTGGGATGTTTTTGGTTTCCCATAAACATGGACTTCCCCATTTCAATAAATATTATTTGGAAAACTACTTTCTCCGCAACATGTCTTCGTTGAAAGACTGGCACAATGTCCAAAAATTTTGTTTAACAAAATCTGATGGTTAATTTATCAGATTGCATTTGTGTGTTTATCTTTTACCAGCAAACCCCAAAAGGGCTTGATATTTATCATTATCAGATCAAATGTTATGATGTCAATAATAAGTCTTGGTCCAAGTTTTTCATGTCAAGTCAAAATCATCAAATATTTAATGTCACAAAGCTGTGATATGCCAAGCAGAGTTATATAAGTGGAGGGAAGACAGATAATTTAATTTACAATATTTACTCGGTCAACTCATTTCTTGAAATATAGCTGTTATATCATGCAGCTCTCAGGTTTGGTCTTTATTCTTTATTTGTGTATGGTACAGATGATCTTCTCTTTGTATGGTACAGATGATCTTATCTTTTAATGGTACAGATGACCTTCTCTTTGTATGGTACAGATGACCTTCTCTTTTTTTTCTTTTCCTTTTTAACTCTTTTTTTTTTAAGTATAATTTTCAAACTGAAATGTCATTATAGGTCAAAGTAGTAAGGTGATCTTATTCCTTACTATTTGAATATTAATGAGAACAAGATATGTGTCAAAAGGCTTTTGTGTGCTCATTTATCTCAGACATAAGATATTGAACTAATTCATCAGTAAATCTTATATGCAATTGTTTGACGTCATTCAATCCTTGTACTAGATTTCTTCATACTAATTCCTTTGATTAAAATTCTAGGATATCTGGAAGGCAAATCTGACAAATTTTTATATTTCGTTCAGTGTTTTTCTCTTAGCATTAATTCCAGTTTCTTAATCTTCAATTCTGTCAGCGTCTTTTCTATAATTTCAAATGGATTTTCTGTCAAAAGTTCAGTCTTTAGAAATATTAATACTGCTTAAGGTTCAAAGAAATAGCAATTTGTATTGTCATATAGTCGTATAGTTGTAAATGCTGATTGAAGACTATTGATCAAGGGAGCCTTTACTCTACATCTAGAGGCAGTCTGTGTTGTAATTACGACGACCATTAAATACAATTTGTATGACAAGCATAACTTTTATGTGAGTTTAACTGCAGACCTATAAAAAGGAGTAAAGAAAATAAACACCTTTGGGGAACTTTTACCAGCTACATAGATAACATTCTTAAAGTGGCTGGTGTTTTATAGCTGCCGTAAGAGGCTACCTATACTTATTGATGATAGAATAGGATGTCTATATCTCAGCATCAAGGTTTAATTGATAATGGTTTTCTTTTTCTTTCACACACCCTCTATCTGGTAGTATAGCCCTTTGCATATACATTGTATTAAAGCCCTTTGTTGACTAAAACTTTTTATTAGCCATTTCCTTATATGAAGTATAGTGCTGGTTTTCTACATTGAATGATTATATGTCAGTATACAAATAATCAAGTTTGATAAGATGTACCGGTATGTTGTTTTACAAATAATGATTTTTTATTAGATTGATTGATTGTTGGTTGATTTACGTCCAGTTGGGTTTGATTAGAAGTATGCTGGAACTAACTTATATTTAATTTAAACAAAACTATTTTACAGTATGGCATTAAAAAGAAACAAGAAGAAGAAGAATTACTGAAACAGCAAATGGACTCAGCAGGGCGAGTTGGTCGAAAGAAAAAAACTCCTGCTGAACTTGCTGCTGAGGCAAATGCAGGAGAGGAGGAGGATGATGAAGATGAGTTTGCAAGTAAATTCTCTTCCTTATGTTGCTGTATGAGTTTCGTATGAGGATAAATCTAAAATTAGCATTATGTAATGTCAACTTGTGCCAGATCACAGGAGGATATATATTCTTCTGTGGGAACTTTGTGCCAGGTCACAACTTAATTAAGATCATAAGTATTATCTATATATGTAGATAAATGATAACATTTTAAATTGAGACTTAATGTGGAAATGGTTGTCAGGTTGTGTCTTGATTAAGGTTTTAATGTGATATTTTTGTGCACGGCCATATCTTAAGATATTCTTTTGTCAGAGCTACCAAAAAACTTGACATTTAACATTGTGTTATTTTGCATCTTTTAATTTAAATCTAAACTTGATGTTCTAAGTATTTTTTGTCCTGTATAAATAGATTATGAAGTCAGATTGAAAAGAAAATCTAAACATATACTCGCAATAGGCTCATTTGAACAAATTTTAATGTGGGCTTAACTAGTTAATATTTACATTGAGATTGTGGCTTTAAAGTCCTCAACATTGAGATTTATGTCACTGAAATGTAATGTAGTGTAGTATTTGACTTTGTGCTAGAGCATACTTTCACAGATGATCTTTGAAGTAAATTATATGGAAACACTGATTGGTCAGTGTTATTTCTTTTTTATATGAGTAGCTAAATTGCATGTACGCTCATTTGATTGAAGTTTTTTATAATACTAGATATTATGTGTGTGACTCTCAAAACACAAGAATGAAAAATGAAAAGTTAAAGTTTGGTATATAATTAAACATTTTGTGAGTGTGGCTTGTAGTAGTAATTAGTGTCAATGAATGAAATTATTTGTAAATGTTAGAAGTGTTTGATTTGGGGTTTTTTTGGGAGAAAGGATGACTTAATTCCTAATTATAAAGGTTATTAAACTGTCAAGTGAGTTAATTGCCCTTTTTATCTAGTCATCTTTAAAAGACTATTTAGTTTCTAAATTTTGATTTGATAGGTATTATAGAAAACAGTGCGATAAGCCTAACAGGATTAGTAGACCATTTTCTGTGAATGAAAAAGAATAATGAAAAGTGCACCCAACAATAAATATTATGTCCATTTTGAAAAATTTTCTTCAAAGTTTCACAGAAACAAGGAATATATACTGCTTGCTGATCTTTCTCATAGTTGGCAATTTTTGTTTCTATTCTCAGAATTTGACACTTTTTCTCTGGAAAAACTAACATTTATAAAAAGAATCTCAAAAATATTGATTGTTATGACAGTCTCATTCTTATTATACTTTTTTTTTTAGATTATAGTAAGATCCTTATTGACTCTGACAATTTTCATTTTTCTATTGCCTGCAACAAAAGTTACATATTATGAAACAAAGAGATGCCAATCCAAGGACAACAGCATAAACAAATTGTATAACTGAGTATTTCAACAGAACAGTTATAATCAATACTTTGTGTGTTGATTGATAATGGCCTGAAGTTTCTTATGGTCATATATCACTTTCCTTGACATCAGTTTTATTGGTCAATGACTTACAAAAGTAAACATTAAGTTTTTGAATGAGGTCAGTCTCACATTCACTATGAGTGACAAGAACCGGTAATCAATATTTGGTCTATAAAAGTGCTGAAAGGCTAAAGGTCACCTGACCTTTTCCATGGTAAAATGACTTACAAAATTTCTTCTAGGTCAGTTTCTCGGTTACTATGAGTAGCAGGGGAACTTATTGAATATCATGGTTCAATGAACAGAATTGGATTTTCCTGCTTAGGTCAGTTGTTCAGTCACTATGAGCATTAAGTCTGTAGAATATTCTATTACTAGGATATTGCAGTTTGATATTGACATAATTTTTAAGGTTCAATGATGAATTTAATGGTAAGTTTTTGTTAGAAAAAAAGGTTAATTATTTGTGGTCTATGGAATCATACATAATTAGGCACCTGACCTTGACTGGTAGGGGTCATTGAATAATCTTACATGTAAGATTTTTGTGCTGAGGTTAGTTCCTAATTCTACATGGAATAATAGAGCACTATATTTGCCTTTAAAATTGGTATATGGTGTACATGTATGTGTAACAAGGTTCACTTGACCTTGAGCTCATTTTCATAGGTCAATGATTAATAGAAAGTTATCTTGATTGATGTAGTAATGATAATCAATTAAGCATGCAAGACATTTAAGAGTGTCAGCTTTTGTAAGAATGAAGAGATTTTCCTAGGTTTTTCGCAAATTTAATTTGTTTTGTCATAACAAGTAAAGGGTTTCATTTTAAATCATTAAAGACTGCAGCAGGTTTATCAAATACATCATACCCAACTGATTATTACTTATATGTAGTGTGTTCTTATGAAATGTGTAGATATGTTTCATTTATCTAAGACCTGAAGACTATTAATAATAGTTTTTAGAAGAAAATAAACATAATTTGTACATCAATTACATGTTAAACAATTGTATTTTATGTGTTGAAAAGGGATGAATAAAGGAGCATTTTTGTTTTGTATTATTTCATGATATTATTTAATGAGAATTCAGAATTCAGAAATCAATGTTTCATGAAAATAGTATGGTGATCTCTATTATTTTCAGTTAATTTTGATAGATATGTATACAGTCAATATTCTCTCTATTGGGAAATTTAAGAAAATTCTATCTTACATAAATATTAGTGTATATCATCTACCTTTAAAAAGTAAAATTTGCTTGAATAATTACATTTTACAGAAATAACTAGTTTCTTTTTTACCTGGAGCATTTTGTTTAGTGGATTGTTTAAAAATTTGAGTGTTTGACAAAAAAAAATAAAACTACAAATGGTGCACAGGATTTCGTTTAATAAAATAAAGTAAAAGTTCAATTTCATAACCACCCAAAGGACATTTGAAGTGTTTCTAATAAGAGGTGTGATTCAGAGTTCCATAGTATGTTATTTACATTGCAGAGTCTTAAAATGTAAACTTTTCTACGTTTACTCTTCCTTTTGCAGAGAATATTATTCAAGTGGAATCAAGAGCCATTCATTAATGTTTGTAATTAACTCTGTATTACTAAGATGTATTATTAACACCATACTGTTTAATTTTCTGCACTGGATGAAGAAAAATAAATCTTCCTTTTGAAGTCCTTCCTTGCTCTTTATAACATTAAAAAAGCTGCTATCCTCATTAGCGGAACACCACTGTAGCATAATTAATCAACAAGCTCGGCAGGAGTAGATCATTAGCAAGAAGATTCCTAAGGAAGTTTTATCAATTCTACCTACAGTCTCTCTATTTTTGGATAAATTCTTTATGTGTGGTTTATAAGGAAACTAAAAAAAAAAACAAAGGATTGATGTAAATGTTCCTACACTGTAACTTTGCTGATGATACCACCTTTGTTTCTTTAAAAAGAACATTTGATATTTATATTTCGAGACTTGCTATAAGATATTAAGTTTTTCAAACAGTCAACTACATATTTGACGTTTGAGGAAAATGAGACAAAGGAATTTGATATAACATTAATCAATGACAATTGTAATTAAACATTAAAGTAGTGCCAAAGACAATTTAGTAAAAGGTTTCACAATTTTTACATAGCAGATTTTCAGCTTTTGCTTGTGAATCCTTATAAACTCCACAAATATACTAATATTTTGTTTTTAATTCTTGTTAAATTTAACGTAGATGACTTCTGTTGAAATGGTGTCTTCTTTGTCATTCCTGATTCATTAAAATGGTTTTAGAATCTACATAGATGAACTACCTTAAGGTGAACGATTGGAGAAATAACATCTAAGAGATACCACTATTGTATTTGCAGGTTTGCTGGATTCAATTGGCTATTTGATGTTCATAAATTGAATTTATGGTGATATGTGAGTGTTACCAGAAAAAGGATATTTGCTACAATCAAACCAAAAATTGTTGACACCAAATCTTCAAGTACAATATTGTAATTCCAATTCTAATGCAATTGATAGAAAACATTGCCACATCATATATACATTTCTGTAATTTAAAATCAGTCAAACAATGACTGTGCTTTCACACGCAATATCAGACAATAAATCCTTGAAATGATACCATGAAAATTGTTGTGTTGTCAAATCAAAATGAATGTGACATTTAATGTTGCATTAGAATTATTAATATAAATTGTCAAGTACATGTAGTAGGATAAAAAAAAGAAATTAAAACATTGTGAGAGGATGACAGTTAATGTCCTGAAAATAAAATTAATTAGTGGTATAACATTATTACATCATTGTGAGAGAAAAAACTAGTGCTCATTTACTATTTTATTGTGCTTTTATCATTAGAAAAATTGATTTTGTTTATATGTCATGTAGTATATTTCCTGTCATATACCTCAAAGCATCTTTTTTTTCGTGAGTATATCATACATTGATTTTATATCTCAGGACTTCCTTCCCACCCTTTTTCTTGCCTGTTGTAATGTTTAATGCTAAGATTGTTAAAACCAAATGAATTACTAATAATTCTCTTTCGTTTTAAAAGGACCAGCTTTCTGTAAAGATAAATCTTTACCTGTATATTTGTCCTATATCATGATTTTATATTCTCATTTGTGTTCTGATTCAGTGCATAGTAACTAGTCAGCACAAACATATAACTATAAGATAGTCATATTGTAACATTTCATCACAGATGTAAAACAGTCACAGTCTCTATCTGTATATGTAATGGGCATTTAAAAACTGGAAATTGTTTACACACATACATGTATACGTACCATTTTCTGTAGTATCACAAATATCTGTGAAGTTGAAGATTTGTATTGGTTGCTAGTATTGATAACTCCTGCTAGCAAACTGGAAGTGTATACTGTTCATTGTGTCTGTTCATCTGTCTGTTCATTCTTTTGGTTGTTTGCTGACATTCTTTCTTGCTCTTACACTATTGACTTGGTTTTCTCGAACTTTAAAAAAACTGTTCAGTATCTATTGTCATTGTGCGCCTACTGTTCTATTTTGATTTTTGTGTATTCCATGGCAAATAATGGACAAA